ATATAATCACACTTCAACTAGTACATAACCATGCTACAAGTTACCCATTAAACAACATATAATCACACTTCAACTAGTACATAACCATGCTACAAGTTACCCATTAAACAACACATAACCACACTTTGAGTTAAGCAATTAAAGAACAGAAACAAAAGAGAAGGACAGTATGCAGACAGACAGGTATATAGACAAACAAAGAGAAGGAATATGGGTAGAAGTACAGGTATATATAGACAAAGAGATGGAAGATAGGCAGACAGGTATATATAGACAAACAAAGAGGTAGAAAGTAGGTAGGCAGACAGGTATATATAGACAAACAAAGAGGTAGAAGGTAGGCAGGCAGGAATATATGGACAAACAAATAGATAATAGGTAGGCAGACAGGTATATATAGACAAACAAAGAGGTAGAAAGTAGGTAGGCAGACAGGTATATATATACATAGACAAACATACAGAAAGTAGTCAGGCAGATTAATATATATATATATATACAAAGAAAGAGATGGGGTAGGCAGGCAGACAGTTATATGGACAAACAAAGAGATGTAAGATAAGGCCGACAGATTTAAATAAATTATTACTGTGTGTAGAAGAGAAATGTGTGAACATGTGTATGTATGTATGCATGAATGACGTATGAATAATGTGGATTTCAAGCTTATAACCCAATCCAGTGAGTTTTGTTTTAGGGCGTAGGGTAGCTTTGTATAAGTGTTTTAGTTTTAGGCCTTATAAACTGATTCCAAGAAACGGCGCATTTTCTTTCAAAAATTAGGTTTTGTTTGTTCGTTTTATGCACAAAGCCACACAATGGATCTGTGTTGTGATCACAGCGGGTATCGAAACCCGATTTTTAACGTTATAACCTCTCAGACTTACCGCTGAGCTACCTGGATTTATTTATTTTTATAGGAATTTTGGGGTCGGTATGTACTTCAAACTTAATCAGGGTAAACAGAACATTAGGCTTAATACTCTCGAAAAAAAAAAAAGCTGAGGGGTATTTGTATTTTTGTCACTTGCATGGTTAGGCCAATTTATAGTATATATGAATAATATCAGCTTGATGTGTGGCTAAATGGCCTGGCCAGACGCCCCCTAGGGGGTCAGGTATAGCCATCCCTATATTTGAACTACTGGGACCATAGGTTCAAAAATGAAATGTGTATTGCTAATACCAAATTTATTTTAAGCTTTGTTTAGGCGTTGGTTTGAGAAAAACTTTTCTGTTTGTTTGGGTAGAGCGAGAAAAGCTATTGCATTTGCTTGCACTGCCTGGATTTGAAAAATTGTTAATAAAAAAACCCTCTTCATACTGTTTAACATATAAGTTAAAATATGATAATTTTACATATACGTTACAACGTTAAAATTCCAATGCAATTTGTTGGTTTTCTGCTTCTTTTGTCACAAAGTATACGCAGGATATTTCGAAAACAAAGAAAATTTTATTTACTTATTTTCTAAAATACCTAACTCTTAACTTGGAAATAAGGAATGATACCTTATTGATAGGCCCCCTAGTGGCACAGCGGCATGTCTGGAGACTTATAACGCTAGAAACTAGGTTTCGATAATCCGTGGTGGGCAGAGCACATATAGCCTATTATGTAGCTTTGTGTTTAGCTTCAAACAAACAAACCTTATTGGTTGAAATATTTACAGATAATAAGAAACATGGTACAAAATGTAACATCCTAAAAAAAAACCGAGTTCGTGCTTTGATTGTTTGCTTTAGAGCAAAGCCACATAGAGCTATCTGCTGTGTCCACCACGAGGAATAGAACCGCGGATTTTAGCGTTGTAAGTCGTTAAACTAACCGCTGTCCCACCAGAGGACCGAGTTCATGTACCTTAACAAAATATGGAATACATTACAAAAAGGTATTGTCAGATGACCGAGGACAACCGTTTATATTTGCTTAATCAATTTTTCTTCTTCTTTCCAGATACGCCTACACAGACGCTCTGAATTTTGAAAGAGTTGAAGACGCCATGTTGACAGCTATGGCCGCCAAGAAGTACTTGCTTCCGCATCTGTTGCGAGAATGTTTTAACTACATCGAGAAAAACGTTTCGCACACGACGGTATGCCAGGTTTTAGAGTTTGCTCTAAACCTCGAATCACACCACGTTGTTTTTCAGTGTCTCAACATCATTGACCGACAAACATATTATGTGTTAACATCGCCTAACTTTTCCAAAGTAAACCTCGCTATTCTCGAGATCATTGTGCAGAGAAAACATCTTAACCTTCACTCAGAGATTATCCTTTATAGCGCCCTCGTCCTGTGGGCCCAAGAGGAATCAAAGCGACGTGGTCTTGAACCAACCATCGAGAACGTAAGGACTGTAATGGATAAGATATTACCTTCCATTCGCTTCCTCGCCATGACAGCTGAGGATTTCAGTAAAGGACCAGCTAAAACAGGACTACTTTCTAAGGAGGAGTGTTTCTACATATTCATGAATCTTGCCGTGCCTGGTATTACATCCTTACCACGAGGAATATGTTCGGAGACTTTAAGACGTACCCCTCCGCCAGAATATTACGTGTGTACTCGCTTCAAACCCATCTCATTTCACACACCCATTCGACCATTACGAGTTTTTGGAATTCGTTTTGCTGTCACCAACATGGATGTTTTTGTTGTAGGGCTTGGTATTTCTATTAGACTGGATGTTGGGTATTATTCCGCTAGAAATCCGAGTTACGACGGACTACTTCGGTGTACGTGCAAGTTCCCGGATGAACGTCTGGCTCGTGAAGAACTTAAAGTAAACTTTGTGCTTGCTAAAGATAAAGATGTGAAAATTAGGTTTCGAAAACCACTCTTCGCTCGTAAAGGTGTCGAATACGAAATTGAGCTTCAGACACGGTCTTCTGTATCACAAGATATCCTTGCACCCAACAACCGTAGCAGAAAACGAGAAGAAACAGCAGAGGGCGCTACATTTCAGTTTTCAGCATTTAAAAAAGGACATCAGAATGAGATGGTGGAAGTAATGGAATTTTCCGAGATTATGTTTTACTATTAAACTATAGTTTTCTGGAAGATATGTTACTGTGGATTATGGAACGGCATCTTTTCGTTTTGGTAACATTGGAAACAACATCCTTTGTTAATATGGGCCTTCAGACCTTCCTGGAGAAGGCTGCGAAGAAATGCCGTGACATATATATATAAATTGAATTTCAAATATGTTAAATATTCGTGAATTCAAATGCATTTATTTCATTCAAAGAAATATATATATATATATATATATTCAATTATACCTAACAAATATCGTATTCAAATGT